GGGAAGAATTATCCAACAACATCCGTAAATTATTGAATCCAATATCAGTCTCGTTGATCTAACTATGTCAGTGGGTTTTGAATATTTCAAAGAAGATCTCATTTTAGGCGTCAGGTGGTGATTCCGGCTGCTCCATCGACATCTGCTATTCCTGCTAGACTGGACGAGGTGCCGTCTGATCTCGCTGCTAGTCGACAATCTTTTCGTATGGCAATGAATCAACCTTACGAGTTTTTTGTTGATAATCTTTGATTTATGATTGTTTTTTGTTATTTATGTCTCAAAAATTTTTGTTTATTCTATGCTATGACTGAGATAAACAGCACAGTTGCATTCTTCATGTCTCACGTGCGGAATGTTTTTCTTTTCTGTTGGCGCTGTTGTTTCTCCTTTTTTCGAATGATGCTTTTATATTATGTACAGTTATGTAATTTTCGAATACTTGTGCCCGTTAGTAGCTGTCTGTGCAGGAGAACTTTTTTCATCACACCATCTCAAAATGTATAGGTTTTGTTGTATGAATGCTCAATTTTCTTTTGGGTGCTCGAATGAAAGTAAAACCTTACATTGGACAAACTTTGAAAGTCCAGGAAGTATTCAAAGTTTGCTTGCCGTGATGTCATCATTGTTGTTTCTGAGTTTGTCGTGAGCGGAAGACGCGCGATCCCATGTACAAATAGTGCGAGTTTTAGACGGAAGACTGAGTGGTGCGATGATGTTTTTGTGGCTTTGATCTCAAAGTTGTTCATATTCATAACCGTACAAGTACAATAACTAGAACCGTTACTAATAAGGGAAGCGATAATGCGAGGTTACACATATGTTCATCCTTACATGTGTAGCAGGAGCCTCTTCCGCCGACTTGCTCACAAACGCCGATGGCTTGGTGACAGCTTTCATTGGGAAGGCCGGCTGCCGTCGTCAGCAGTGAAACTCCGCAACCACGGGCAACAAAATCAGCTGAATGTCTATCTGATAAGGCACCTATAAAGGATCTATTGCTAAAAAGATTGACAATAAATTAATGCCATAGAAATTTCGTCCGAAAAAAACTTTGAGTTCAACATTTTTTGTAAGGAATAAGTATTTCACTTGCAGTGCTTCTCCGTCCATCTATAAGCAAATGCAATTTCGAAAGATGTGATTGAAATATGTTCCATACAGCTCTCAATCTCTCATGAAGGAGTATTGTGCTAATAGTCATCAGAGTTTACAGTCGAATCATTTCATACGATCATGGCGTCATTACACACACAGCCCACCTGGCATCCTTGTCCCGCAATCTCGTTGCAGGCATCAGGCCGGCCTTCAGGTGAATGTTTTCAGTGTTTTCTTCATGCACCCGTGCAATACACACATACACACATGATCTATGAATGATTCGACTACACCAGAAGTGGAAATACATCAGAATAATC